TTAGTTTGCTCACCAAAGAATATAAGAAACAGTCAGCTACTATATTTGACCAACCTTTATCTAGTATACCTACATTGTGGAAGCAAGTATATTACCAGTTGATAGTATGACCACTTCACTGTTTCTTTATTTTTCTTTTAACTTTATATATTAGTTATGTTAATTAGATAAAGTAATAACTTTTTCAAATGAGGTACTAAATTTAAGCAATACTGCAAAAAGGAAAGTGATTGATTTCACCTGAGTAATTTTATATGCATAGCATCCTAATAGAAAGAGCATAGGAATTAGGTGGGCATGCAGGCATTTAAATTTCACATTGAAGGAAATGTATGAATGAGGGCAGCAAAGTTTATCTCTCGTATTTGAGGTTTCTTTGGATTTAAATATCCATGACTTTTACATTAATTCAAAATGTCACTTGCACCCCTATGTTTATTGCAGCACTATTTACAATAGGTAAGCTATGGAAACAACCCAAATGCCCAAAAATAGATGGCTGGATCAAGAAGATGTGGTTCATATACACAATGGAATATTACTCAGCAATCAAAAAAGATAAACTCATGCCATTTGCAGCAACATGGATGGAGCTGGAAGGAATCATGCTCAGTGAAATAAGCCAGAAAGAAAAAGAAAAATACCAGATGGCCTTACTCATAGCAGGAATTTAGAAAACCTAAATAAGGGATCAGGGAAAAGACTAATTATAATAAAGTAAAAATCAAAATCAACAGACAACTATAAACCAGAGACACACTACAGGGGAGAGGGGGAGAAGGGAGTAGGATAGAAACAAGGCGAGGTAGGAATTTTATGGGGACTATAACCCAGATGAAATTGCATGCATTGTACAAAAATGAAAAATGATGTAAAAATATATAAAAGAAACTTAAAAAAATAAACATACATGACTTTCAATATGGTACAGTTGCATCGCTGCACCTCAGTGGAACATCTACCTGCAAGGGAATTCCTCTTGTATGGGGTCTGTCACACTCACCTTTACCCATGAGTATTATGCAGCACAGAACCTGGCAAAAAGCAGGCTTCCAGTAGATGATTGGTGAGTAGATGAGTGAGCAAGAACTTTGCAGCATTTGTGTATCTTTGCAGAGAGTGTGTATCTTATTTTTCATCTCAAAATAGAATATTGATGAGGATGTGGTTGAATATCTAGCCCTTTATCACTATTGGCAGATATATTTGCTGATGGTTGTACACTGAGATTGTATGTTAGGTTTTTAGTCTGTGAGACTGACTTGAAATCACTGAACTTTACCTACCTGCTTGCTGCTGGAGGGGCTCTTACTCCTGCTCCCAGGCACCATTCTATTCTGTGGATTTGTAATGCAGTTTCCCCTGGCGCTACATTCAGAGAAGGATGTAGCTGGTGGGTCCTCCTCTACAGAGATACCTACCTACCCGGCCAAGTTTAGACTGCCTGGAATTGAATATTATTCTGTAGCAAAGGGAAGCAAGCTGGAAAAGGGTCATACCTGCAGGAAACCTAATATTTACTCTGCAGTGAAGCATGTGAAAAATGAAAGGGAAAAGCTTCATCATTGCAAGTTTACTTTGTGTGGATTTTCTTTTTTAGGGCTTTCCTCATACCCTTATATCATCTTTTAATGTTTTATTGCCTGTCTAACTGTAACTTGCTTTTTATTTTAGTGGTGCTTGGGATCCACTCTGAATGCCATTAATAGCTTCACTAGGGAAGCTAGGCTTCACTAGCTTCTATCATTTTGAGAAAGGAAGTCAGAAGAGTTTTCTATGTATACTCTGTTCCCTCTCTACTCATTGTGGACTTCTGTCAGTGGACTAATTATTCCATCAATTGCACAGTTAGAATAAGCCATTCATGGGTAAAATAACTCCCCCCTTCCCCCCGTGAATAATACAATTTTTACACTAGAAAATATGTGCAATAACTTAATAACAGATATATTATGCCCTTGCCAGGAACACCAAGGGTGCCCACCAGACCTGCATGAAAAGAGGAAAGGGTGGGGCAGTGGTTTTTCCTTGTACGCATTTGTTCTTTTGTACCCTGGAAATTCTTGTCCTTGTTCCTAACTTCTTACATGCACCTCTGGGATTGGGTGAGAGCCTTGCTGACTTCATGGCCTTTTGATTGTATATTAGAGAATGCTCTTCTAATGACATGGCTTAAAAAGCCATTAAATAAGTAATAACTGCACCCTGTTTCTAAATTTCATGAGGCTTGTGGATATTAAGTAAGCCTCAGGGTTACACTAGAAATCAGGAATGGTGTAAAACTTGGGAAATAGGGAGAGGATAGAAAGTGAGGGCTGAAGAAAGACTTAGGAATAAAAAAAATTAAAACAATTTCATTTTGTTGTAAAACAGTTGTATTAAGATGTCCTTCTTTGGTATGTAGAAGGTATTCAATAAATGTTTGTTGAACTTAATTTTTAAACCAGTGACATGTTCTCAACCCTCTTTCTCCTCTTGTCTAATTTCACATTTGGGCCCTACAAATTACCCAAGTTATAGTTAATGAATAGCACTAAAGGGCCTCCCCTGGTGGTGCAGTGGTTGAGCGCTGGGCTGCGAAGCTGCCCGCAGCCTCTGCAGTGCCAGTTTGATCCCTGGCCACCAGCAAAGGTCCCACAGGCGCGCAGACCTCTCCTGTCTCACCTGCTACTCCCCTTAGCAGTGAACTTCATCAGTCTGCCTGCTCTGTTCTCCCCTCTGGCTCTGGTGAATTCTCTCACCCTCCTGCGCTTCTGACTGTACCCAGTGCTTGTATAAATAAGTAAATAAATCTTAAAAAATAAATAGCACTAAAGATTTTAGAAAAATCGTATTTTTTAAAACGAGGTCAAATAGACTTGCTAAAATAGGAATTTCCTTTAAAAATCTCCATAACTTTTCTCCATTCCTGTTTCTTTTTCTTTTTTTTTTTATAGAGGCGTGTTTATTTATTTATTTTATTTGTTTGTTTGTTTTATTTATACATGCACTGGGTACAGTCAGAAGCGCGGGAGGGTGAGAGAATTCACCAGAGCCAGAGCGGGAAGCAGAGCAGGCAGAAGGACCGAAGTACACTGCTGAGGGGAGCAGCGGGCGGCAGGAGAGGTCTGCGCGCCATGTGGGACCCTCCTCCGGTGGCCGGGGAGCAGCCGGGGATCGAAACGGCGTTGCAGAGGTTGCGGGCAGCTTCGCAACCCAGCGCTCAACCGCTGCGCCACTTGTTCCTACCATTATGTGAATTTTGACCAAATTGTTAGACCTCTTATTTCTTCATCTTAAAAATTACAGAATTGAATTGATCTTTAAGGTTCATTTTAGACACGTATTAGATATACTCATTTTAGCACCTCTTTCACTAAATGACTTTCTGAATCACTATAATGCAAGATTAATAGAATTTTCCTCACTTAAAAAAATGTACCAGTATTTTGGGCCTCCTCTTTTGAAGTCTCAGCACTATCAAGCTCTATAGTCAGCCACTGCAGCAGGAGTTCGATCCCTGACCCAGGAAGCTAATCCACATGGCACAGCAGACCTCTCCTGTTGTCTTGCCTGCTGCTCCCCCCAACAGTATATTTTAGCAAATCTGCCTGTTCTGCTCCTTACTCTGTCTCTGGTGAATTCTCTCACCCTCCCGTGCTTCTGGCCTGCACCCCAGTTCTTGTATGCATAAATAAATTTAAAAAATCTTTTTAAAAAAGCATCAATTTTCAAAATTAGTATTGTCTGTGTTTTGACTGAGGTATACATATACAAACTTACCTTTAGGAACCGAGCATGTTTGCGTAGTATACATATCATGACCTTACCTTTCAAAATAAGTGGGAGGTTTCATAGGAGTTTTAAGAACTTTGAAGTTGCTGAGACCTGAACTCAAATCCTGACTCTTGTACTGGCAAATTAATCTTGTGAAGCTTTAATTTCCTCATTTCTAATATGGAGATGGTAATGTATTTCATAAGGTTATTTTGAAGTTTAGATGAGCTAATTGATATAAATTACTGACCCTAGAGCTTGACCTATAGGAAACACTCACTGTTACCTAATGTTACTGTATGAAAATGTGTCCCATATTCTCTTCAACTAACATAAACATTTTGTGATGTAACCTTTTCTGTCATAAATTAAGAGCTACCGGGCATCCCAGGTGGTGCAGGTGGTTGAGTGCCGCACTGTGAAGCTGTCTGCAGCCTCTGCAGTGTGGGTTCGATCCCGGCGGGCCAGCGAGAATCCCACGTGGTGAAGCAGACCTCTCTTGTCGAGCCTGCTGCTCCCCTCAGCAGTGTATTTCGTCAGTCTGCCTGTTCTGTTCCCCTCTCTGTCTCTGGTGAATCCTCTCACCCTCCTGCGCATCTGGCCTGTACCGTGGTACTTGTATAAAAAATCTTAAAAAAAAAAATTAAAAAATTTAAAATTAAGGGCTACCTCTCAATAGGTATTTATTTTAATTAATTAATTTTTTACATCATTGTTCATTTTTAAACAATATTTGCTTCCCCCACTCCCTCAGGTGGGGGTGTCCCCATAGAGTTTCCTTCACCAATGCACCCGTGCATCATCACCTCAATCCCCTGTGCTCCTCCCTCCCTCCTTCTGATCCCTCTCCCTCCTCCTCCCCTGCAGTATATCTCTGATTTATAATTGTCTGGTTTTGCTTTGTTGTGTTTTGTACTGTTATTATTTTTTACACTGATGTCTTATTCCCCTACATTCCTGCTATAAGTGAAACCATCCAATATTTTTCTTTTCCCTTCTAGCTTATTTCACAGAGCATATTTCCTTCTAGCTCCATCCACGTTGCTGCGAATGGCATGAGTTTATCTTTTTTGATTGCTGAATAATATTCCATTGTGTATATATACCGTATCTTCTTGATCCAGTCATCTATTTTTGGGCATTTGGGTTTCCAGTTTTTACCTTCAATAGGTATTTAATAAGTAAACTAATGACCACAAGGTTTTTCTGTAGAAACTGACTTAAAAATTCCTTTTTCTTTCCAGATCTTATATTGCACTTTAAACACACCTAGAATTGACATGGAAAAACTATTAGGAGCACAAATAGGTCTTGAAGATTTCATATTTGCCCATGTGAAAGGGATCGAAAAAGAAGTGAATGTGTATAAATCTGAGGATTCACTTGGTCTCACCATTACAGATAATGGTCTTGGCTATGCTTTTATAAAGGTAAGTTTTAAATAACTGTGTGACCTAACTGAGTGGTAATATATAAGAAAATCTAGCAGGTCAAAGAAACTTGGAGATGATCTTTGAAGCCAGCCCAGTAAAAATAGATGGATTGACTAAAGTTTCATTTAAAAAAATCTTTCAGACATAAGTTTTTGTTTACTCTTTCCTTGAATTTCTTCCCCTTCATTTAAAATTCCCTGAGAATTTAAAACAAAGGGGAGGCTTGGCCCTGGTGCCTACTTATCATCCACATGAGCTCCTGTCGGTCTGTAGCTCATTAATATCTAATGACTTCCATGCTTCCGTTAATTTTTGTATTTCCAAGGGCATGCATTTCTGATCACCTTATTTCTTCTTTAAAAATGCTCTTCAAAATTTTCTAAACTATACAAAAATATTCTAAACTATACAATTACTTTTTTTTAAATACGTAGAGCAATATGGAGCTGCAAAGGTAAGAAAAGGAAGTTTGAAATGATGTAAAAATGATTAAGAACTTAAATGATGTAAAAATGATTAAGAGGGTAAAAATTAGATTCATCTCTTAATTCTTTATTGTAAAAGTATTTAACAGCTGACTTTTACTGAATTCTTATTATATACTTGGTAATTTGCATATGCTTTCTCATTAAATCCTTGCAACAATTCCATTTGGTTGGTTTTTTTAATTTGTTTGTGGCGGTATACTGAATTTTTAATGTACAACTTGATGAATCTTTATAAACTTACACCTGTATAACCAGTACTCAGATCAAGGGAAATTGCTTCCTTGTGCCTCTTCACAGCCAATACTCTTCCCCCAAAAGGTAGCCATTATTTTGACTTCTATCACTATGGTTTTGATTGTAAGTGGAATCATATTACGTACTGTCTTTCTGCTTTCTTTTGATTAACGTGATGTGAGATTCATTAGGCACTGTTGTCAACCTCTGTTTTAGAGGATCAGGAAGGCTAAGTAGCATTCCCAAAACTTTGTGACTGGACAAATTTCAGGATCTGAATCCAAGAGACCTGACTTCAGAACTGGCATTCCTACCCGCTGTGTTAAGGATTAGGGATAGATCTGCTAGTCCTGTGGTTTGGTCCCAGGACTGTCTGTTCCCATGGCCTGCACAGAACAGCTACTGAAGCTGTATGTGCATTGGTGGGGGACAAGCAGGCTTCAGTGAGCCTGAGGGGACCCAGATCTGTCCAGGCCCTATAGGTCTGCATTTCTGTCTCTAGCACATTGCAACACTGGAAAAGGACTAGCAAGCTGGCCAGTATCCCTGCGGGAGAGTAAAAAGGAAGGAAATGTCAACTTGGAAAAAACTCTACAATGGATATTTAGGAAGGCTGGAAAGTGAGGGAAACACAGATGAAGTGGAGCCTGAAGATGAAGGAAAGTCAGGGGAGGATGAAATGCCACACATAAAGAGGAATCCAGAACACAGAATGTCAGGATGAGGGGCAGGTAGATGAGGGACAACCGGAAGATGAGGGAAAGCTAGAAAAACATGGACAGTCTGAGGATAAGAGAAAACCCCACAGTAAGGGGGATCCAGCCTCAGGCTGTTGAAAACTAGAGAGCCAGCCTCAGGCTGTTGAAAAGTACCTGGCTGAAGATTATGTGCTTAGGGGAGCAAAGACAAAAATGGATGAGGAAGGAGGATTCCCCCAAACACTGTCAGGAGAACTTACAGGAAGGGCATTTGGACAGTGAGGAGATAATGTGGAGATATGTAAAAGGACATAGAAAGAGCCAAGGAAAAACCAGACCATGAATGATTTTCATGGGCTACAAAGAGATGTACAGAATCCATTCACTCTAAGGAACTAATGGAGTGTCAGGAATGAGGGATGAAGGGTAGTATCCAAAGGGGTTTCCATGAGAACCTGTATCTTTAATGCTTTTGGCCTTGAATTCGGATTTCTCTGAGAATATTGCTGCTTTTCCTGGCAGGCATTTGCCAGGCCATGTGCTTTAACCTCATGCTGATACTTTGCTTTATTTTATTTATTTATTTTAAAAGATTTATTATTTATTTATATAGAACTGGGGTACAGTCAGAGGCACGGGAGGGTGAGAGACAGAGACAGAGACAGAGCGGGGAGCAGAACAGGCAGATGGACCGAAGACACTGCTGAGGGGAGCAACAGGTGAGGCAGGAGAGGTCTGCCGCTCTATGTGGATTTCTCCCTGGCCGGGAATTGAACCCGCGTTGCAGAGGCTGCGGACAGCTTCACAGCGCTGTGCTCAACCCACTGCGCCACTGGGGAGGCCTGATACTTTGCTTTAGGTGTCACCCTTGTTGACCCAGCTAGAGTGCTCTATCAGAAGGGAATTTTCACCTTCATGCATGGTAGAGATGTTCATGGCACATTGTAGAAAATAAAATGTTTTCAGAACTAAAATAATTAGGGATAAACCTCATGCAACAGCAAATGTTTCATGCCTTTATTCTGTCCATATCCTTCATTTATAATGCATTGTCATCTTTAAAAAATAGTTCCCAGAGAAGTTATTCTCTTCACTGTAAATTGTACTTTATTTAACTTCCCACTGGCTAGAATGGCTATTTTTAGCTTTGCAAAAGATATGACTGTGCTGAAGGTTGAGTGGGTGACCAAATGGAAAATCTGTGAGTGGGGAAAGTCATGTGGGATTATCCAGGGGAAGCTCAGGACATGAAGCACATGTAGCGATGCCTTTCTAATGTCAGTGGGGAAGGGCTTGGAAGTTTTGCAAATGTGTGGCTATTTTAGATCTTAGTAGCTGATGTTCAGAGCTTGTGTTCCTATTTTTTAAAATGCTTCTTGGAACATGTGCCTGCCTCAGAGTACTAGTCACTAGCCCTGTGGAGACAGAGGACATGGTGACAAAGAAGGAGAAGCATAAGTCAAACTGCCGAACTGTAGCTCAGTTTAGAAGAGAAACGTCCTACTGTGGGCACAGTTAATGACTTAAAAATGGGGAAGGGGGTTTCAAACTTATTGGAATGTTGTAGTAACAATATAAAAGAAATTCCAAAGTACCCTTTACCCAGATCTCCAATTTTTTGACCACTTGCCACATTTGCTTTGTTTTTTTACACACTTGTATTTATATATACATACATGTACATATAAGCAAATCCAGTTTCCAGTTTTCATGACCCACTTGAAAAGGAAATTTGCATATATTATGTCCCTTTACCCCTTAAAGATTAGACTATAATTGTTAAAAACAAGGTTATCTGCTTATATATAACTACAGTATAGCTAGGAAATTCAGAAAATCTAGCTGATACAATCCTTTTAAGTTAATCAAATATCCTTGTTGCAATTTTTTTTAAAGATTTATTTATTTATGCACACAAGAACTGGGTCATAGGCTAGAGGTGTGGGGGTGGGAGGTGAGAGAATCCACCAGAGACAGAGTGGGGAACATAACAGGCAGATCAACTGAAATACACTGCTGAGGGGAGCAGCGGGCAAATCAGGAGAGGTCTGTTGTGCTATGTGGGTATCTCCCTGGCTGGGGATTGAACTTGCACTGCAGCGGCTGCGGAAATCTTCGTAGGTTGGAAAGCTTCATAGGTTGCTTCTTAACTCCTTGCGCCACCAGGGAGGCCCTCCTTTGTTGCAGTTTTATCAATTATCCTAATGTTTTCTCCTCCTCCTCCCCGTTCTCCCCCCCCCCCACCCGCCTCCCGCCGCACCGTAGGTCCTGTCTAAGATAATGCATTTAGTTGTTATTTTTTAGGAATTGTTTTGGGCCTCCCTGGTGGCGCAGTGGGTTAAGACGCAGCACTATGAAGCTATCCCCAGCCACTGCTGCACGAGTTCGATTCTCAGGCTGGCCAGGGAACTAACCCACATGGTGCAGCAGACCTCTCCTGACTCACCCGCTGCTCCCCTCAGCAGTGTATTTCAGTAGATCTGCCTGTTCTGTTCCCTACTCTGCCTCTGGTGAATCCTCTCACTCCCACACCTCTGGCCTGTACCCCAGTTCTTATATGCATGAATAAATAAATCTTTAAAAAAAATTGTCTTTATTTTAGAACAATTCCTCAGCCTTTTATGGGATGTGCCTCAATTTGGGTTTTTCTGTTGCTTCATGTTGACAAGTGATATATTTTTGGCAGTAAAATTCTTTAAGTGATGAAAATTATAAACATATCAGAAGGTGCATTATGTTAATATTTGTCATTATTTATAATTTTCATCACTTGTCTAAGGTCATATCTGCCAATATAACTATGTTATAACTACAAAGTTCTGTTTTCCTTTGTAATTAATAATTTGTGGGGAGATACCTTGAGATTATGAAAATACCCTTTTCTCTTGTGAGCCACAGATTTAGCATTTGTTGATGAGTCTTGCTTGAAATCAGTTGCAAAATGGTTATTCTTCTAATTCTGTCATTCCTCATATGTTTCTTTAAAACATGTTCTTGTAAAACATTCCACTTTTTAATTTATCTATTATCTGCATGGACACATGATTTATTTTATTCTGTGTGTTATAATCCACTGCCATCGTTTATTTTGATGCTCATTTTTTTTCCTGAGATTAGGCCTGCAGGAGTCCTTTATTTTTTATTTTTTTAAAGATTTATTTATTTATGCATACAAGAACTGGACTACAGGCCAGAGGTGCCAGGGGCCGGGGGTGGGGTGGTGGGGGAGGTGAGAGGATTCACCAGAGACAGAGTAGGGAACAGAACAGGCAGACTGACGAAATACATTGCTGAGGGGAGCAGCAGGGCAAGATAGGAGAGGTCTGCTGCACCAAGTGGATAGCTCCCTAGCCAGCTGGGGATCGAACTCATGCTGCAATGACTGCGGATTGCTTTATAGGTTGCGTCTTAACCCCTTGCAGCACCAGGGAGGCCCTGCAGGAGTCCTTTTAGGTGGCTCCTGTATTCTTTTGACATGGCTGCCATCATTTTGATCAGTTCTTTTTTTCCGGTACAAATGTTCTAGAGACATCTGTTGTTTTTTCTTCAAGCATTCTATCAACCGTTTTTCCAAAAAGCTCTGGTTTGTTTGGTGAGGACTGGTGTTTCAAAAGCAACATCTGAATGAGTTGTACTCCTTCTTTGTGCTTTTAGGTCCTTTCAGTGATATGGTTAGAAATCATATTTTAGAAATTTTGAATTTTTAATGACAACTCCATTTTAATCCAGCCAAGGGTTCTTCCTTGGCTTTCCCATTTTAAAATATTTACTTTCAATATCATTTTTTTTACTCTCTTGCTTAGCCCTACCATATATTCACAAAATAGTTTCAGAATTACTATACCACACTACCCTGAAAATAAACCTAAGAGCTGAAGATATGTATGTGCTTTTAGTCCTTAAGCTAAATATATGTAGATAATCAAAGTATTCAGAAGTTATCTGGAATAGGTTCTTTGCTTTCTCCCCACCCCCCACTGGTGGTTATTCATTTAAAATACTGTTGAATCCTGTTGTTTCTCTTTGAATTAATTGAGTTTGAGTCTCTCTTCTTTGTTGATCTAAATTTATTTTCTGAAGACATAAAATATTAACATGACTCAAAGTCAAAGTTATATCAAAAGATATATTCAGGGCTCCCTGCTGGCCTAGGGGTTAAGTCTCAGTGCTATTACCATTATGGCCTGAATTTGATCTCTGGCAAGGGAGCTAACCCATATGGTGCAACAGACCTCTCCTGTCTCGCCCACTGCTCCCCTCAGCAGTGTATTTCAGTAGTTCTGTCTGTTCTGCTCCCCACTCTGTCTCTGGTGAATCTTCTCACTCCATTGTTTCCTTTTGCCAAGAAAACCAGAAGAAAATGGAATGTTCAGTAATTTGCATGTCAATCTTGTGTGCAGGGGCCATAACCTTTCTCTTTGAGTCCAAACAGTTTAAGACTGGAGTTGGCAAACATTTTCTATAAATATTTTCATCTTCATCATAATTTAGGGTCAGAGAGGTTCTGTTGGCAATACCTCAGTTTGAAACCAAGTTCTTTTGCTTAATTAGCTGTCACTTGGCATAAATCTTGTAATTACTGTACCTAGATTTACTTATTTATTAATGGGATGAGGCTGCTTGTGAGGATTAAATGAAATAACTATTTATAATTGTTATATGAATATTAGTTTATTATTAGGAACAAGTTTTGGAGACAGTGTTGGGAGGGTCAGCAAAACAGATCTCAGAGCTGCTGAGCAGAGATCTTGACATAGGCTCAAATACCTGGAATGTAGTGCTTAAGACTTTTGAGAGGGTGGGATGCCAACCTAGAGTTCTGCTGATGTCTGTGATGAGAATTGGAGTTCTATAAATATATGGGATGATATAATGGAAGATACTATAGTATTTGAAATGTTGTTCCTGTCTTCCAAAAAATACTCAATACATTTTGCCTTTTGCAGCTTCAAAGCCAGATGAAATTGCTAAGTGTGACATTTTCTTCCAATTGGATATACAGTTAAGCATACTTTTTTATAAATCCATTAGGGGCCCTCCCTAGTGGCACAAGAGGTTAAGACACAGCATTATGAAGCTATCTGCAGCCACTGCAGCAGCATGAGTTCAATCCCCGGCCAGGGAGGTGACCCACATGGTGCAGCAGACCTCTCTTGTCTCGCCCACTGCTCCCCTCAGCAGCGTATTTCAGTTAATCTGCCTGTTCTGTTCTGTACTCTGTCTCTGGTGAATCCTCTCACCCTGCCCCCCCATTAGTTCCCCCACTCTTTTGTAGTTGTGCCCATCTATTACAATGTCAAATCTTCATAACTATACTAAGTCTTGATATTCAGTACAACAATCATTAAACCAAGCTTTCACCATATAAATAAACACAAATTTGCTGGGATCTGTTATCCTTTAAAAAAGTTGTAAGTGTTATAGAGTGTGGTATTGAGTGACTCAGTAAATATTAGTGTAGGATTATGTCTTTTGTTTTTTCTTCTTAGTCCTTTGTACCCGAGTAACCCTTTTAGCTATATTATTAATCTCCATCATGTAATGGTATTATCAAAGTATGCTAGATTTTAGAAACTGTTCAATTGTTCCCTCATTCTTTATCCTACCTACATGGGAGATTAAGGCTTAGGTAACCCACAAAATATATAATTGGTGCCTCCCACTTTGCTTCTATGGTGGTGGTCTCCAAATTTCCTGCGTTGATTTTCATGTCTCTTTATCCCAGGTCCTTGTCTGGTGCCCTTGATAACTACATCTCCTTCAACTACTACTCCTTGATAACTACATTTCCTCTTGCTCATCTGAATGCTCATTTTACTGCCTGCTCTGACTTGTGGTAATTGTTTTGCTTTCCTTTGGACACTCTTCTGGTGACCTCTGAGGCTATTTAGGAGATCCTAGATTTCTGTTACTCTGACCTTTGATTTACTGCCAAGATGTACACATGTCTTAAAGTTTTGATTCATTAACTTTATGGAATGCTTATTTTAAATCATAGTGTAATTCTTAAAACTAAAAGGGGTGGGACACTGAAATTTGTATGGTGTAGTTTATCAAAAAAGAAAAAAGGTTCAGAATATCAATAAATTTGAATAAAACTTAAGAAAAGTCAAAGTTTGGGATTTTTACATTCTCTAATGGCTTAGGAATGGTTAGATGACAGAATTAAATTTTTGTTTCTTCAGACTCTAGTATTTTGTTTAATCTTGCTTATTTTGCTATGACAGTTTATAAACACAAGTGTACTGAGAAAATGTTGTGTTTACAATTATTTGTTTCTGTTAGCTTATAAGAGGGACTTAAAATGTCATTCATATCATTAAATTTCTGGATTTTTTTGCTTTATATTTGTAATGATAAAAAGCTTTGTTTGAATTGGCACCTTAATGGTTGCTATTACTGTGAACATAGCACTGTTCTTAAAATTTTGGGATAAAAAAGAAACCTCTTAGAGTTTGGTATATAGTAATAAAATTTGAAAATTAAAAATGTCTAACCATGCCAGATTTGCCTTTTAAACTTATTTTTGTTGGCTTTTTTCCTGATAATGTCATGGACATGGTGTGAGGTACATGAAACTAGTTTTCTCTCAACTCTTGGACAAAATGATCAATCATCCTGCTGATGCAGAGGTTTCTCCTTCATTTGGCAAAAGTGGAGAATGCACATGCTTTTATTACACAATCGTAGCAGCCTCTAACATTTCTATTCTATCATTCCTCCAAAGGATTTGTGACTGCTGAGGCCAATTGTGACATAATTTTGCTCAATTTTTCACCACTGTAGAAGAACTATACGGCCTCTGCAGGGCTGTAATCCATGCTGAGTTTAAGCTCCTTTTCCTAAAATCTTTTCAGAACTGCTAGTGCTGTCATAGTGAATCTTAGGCCTCATCTGAGACTCTGCACTATAGTTGTATAGAAGTAAGATAGTTGTAACAAAGATCAATTTAAAGTTTCTCTGTAGGCCCTAAGTTCTCAATCTAAAATAATATAAATGAAAAATAATAATATAAAATCACTCTTACTGGCTACCAAAGTGGTAACCATACCTGTCTCTTAGTAGATATCAATTTTCTTAGCTCAGGTTGTGCCAAAGTTTAAAACATGTAGCCAGTTGAAAAAATTCAAGCTCTGTCTTATGTTAGGGGCTTCATGTTGAAATGATTCAGCAATTATTTATGGAGGCACTTTTTGGGTGTAGGAATTGTGCTAGGCACAGGGTGTTCAGGGGTGAATAAGACCATCTCTGTCCCCAAGAATATTATTGTTCAGTAAAGAGGACTGAATGGTAAATGGACAATTGCATTGTGGTGTGTTGAATTTGTCAGCTGTCTTCCCTGACCTTAATTATATCAATTTATGACATGGAATATCATAAATGTTGTTAGAATTAAATAAGAGGGCAAATGTAGAGGGTTTGATTAAAGATGAGCATATGTAGTAACAAATATTGTAGAAACCTGTCTGGGGGAATGGACTTGAGAACATCAGGACCAGATTCTCAGAGGAGGTGGTGACTGAAGTAGCTGAATTCTGAATGAGATAAGATTGTTGTCCTGTGATGCTTGGTCTTTAAATATTCAATTGCATTGTCACTATGTCAATGTATTGTGTATATTGTCTCAAGAGCATGAAAGTAATGGCTCACCATTCTATTTTTTAATATGTCTTATCCTTAATTTTCTTTCAGAGAATTAAAGATGGCAGCGTAATTGACTCAGTTAAAACAATCTGTGTAGGGGATCATATTGAATGCATAAATGGAGAAAATATTGTTGGGTGGCGTCACTATGATGTTGCTAGGAAGTTAAAATCATTAAAAAAAGATGAATTCTTCACCCTGAAGTTAATAGAACCTAAGAAGGCATTTGGTAAGTTGGCTTTGTGTGTGTGTGTGTGTGAAATGTTTCTTCTCTCTGCTTTATCTTTCTAAGGGAAATGAGTATGGCCATGTGCTTTTAGTATATCTGTTAATAACACAGAGCAGTAGACAGCACTACTTATAAGGAAAAAAAAAAACTATTGAAGGAGAAAAAAGTTGTCTAGAAGGACATTTTCTAAAAAAGACATTTGAAACGACAACATCGATTGTCTAGTGACTTTGATGTGGCTGTTCTAAACTCTTAAGAATAGCACATTGTACTGTGTTTATCTTCCTGAGCAGTATGATTTTTGATGGAATTTTTTAAATCATGATAACTGTCATTCATGGACCTCAATAGAAAAACTTCAGTTATACATGTATTTGGAATTTTGAATAGCTATCTAGCCTGTTTTAAAGACTTTCTTCAATACTTTTCTTCCATTGGCATTTGAATTTGGCAGTGTGGCATGGTATGAAATTCCACTTTGGTGTGACATCTGTACTTGCTTGGTTTTAGCCATGGCAGCTGTGTTCCAACTGTTTTTGCAAACCTTCAGGGCCATCTCATCTACAGGAAAAGGTGCCAGCTTCTCTGTACCACCCAGCACTATTTTAATAAGCCAGATGATGGTCTAGTGTTCATCAGTGTTAAAATATCTTCAGTACATCATTTCTATGCCTCCTCTGACTCATCCAAGACCCTCACCTACCTCTGATCTTTTCCTCTGTCCACATAAAGTGACCCTTACTTTGTCTCTGTTAGCTGTTTTCCCAGAACAGTTAATGAAAATAGTGGTTGAAAGCAGTGGGTCTAGGGAACTAACATTTTTTCTCCCTTAGCCAGTAAGTAGCAGACCTTAGCCATATGGAATTGCAATCTTTTTTCTGCATACAAGTGATTTGGTGTCATTTAATGGAAATACAGTGTAGGTTCTGTTACTTGTGGAAGACAAAGTTCCAAGAAGGTGTAAGATGGACCTTAACTTGGATGTTTGGTTGACAATAGTCTTGAATGTTTACCAGGGTCAATGTATTTAGTTGTTATTATTCCATGATTAGATTTTTCTTTCAATACCAGAGATACAAGTTTAGATGGTTAGTGTACTTCCCTGCCTTATTGTGCCTGGCTACTAATGAACCTGTCTATTACTGCATATGCATTCCATGGAGACTGGGTAGGGTTTTTCTAGTAGGAGTATATTTTTTCAGCATCCTAAATTATAATAGTAGTGGATGTGCAGGTTAGAATATGTGGAGTACACATTAGAAGGTAATTGGGTACAAACTTCCTCCAATTCTCTTGGTTCCAGTCTTTTCTGTGGCTAGTTTGTTTTTTTTCTAGCATTATCAATAATGCATTGATTCACATTTTATAGCTCTTCTTGATTATCAAAATTCTGCTATTTTGGATACCTATTAGAAAGAGCCAGTTGAGATGAGGCAAAAACTTCTCTTCTTTGTATTCATGTAGTCTGTTTTGGCTGAAGCTAAGTCATCTTTAGGATTTTTAAAAGAAGCTTTCAGAAATGACCAAACCACCTTTGCCAAAGATTTAGCTAGATGGGGAAGATATATGAACTGTGTCTCCAAATGCATTAGGGAGAATTTTGAAAGAGGCTTGATTCGTGGATGAAATTAGAGGGATTTGTGCAAAGTTTAATAAATCAGAAAGAGAAAGACAGTTACTAGATGATTTCACACATGTGGAATATTAAAAAAAAAAACAAAGGAACAGATAAAACTAAACCAAAACAAACCCTAGAAATATTACTGCAGAATTGAGGCCACTGTGGGGGGGGGGCAGGGAGTGGAGATCAAAGTGGCAAAGGAGCCCCTTGTTGTATGTTGGAGGATTATGGATGCTTTGGTGGTGAGTGTGGTGTAATTCATATCTAAGGAGGTGTGAAGCCAGCCTCCCTGGTGGCGCAGGGGTTAAATCACAGCACTGTCAAGCTATTGCCAGCCACTGCGACATGAATCCCCGGTGAGGGAGCTACCCACATGGCACAGCAGACCTCTCCTGTCTCATCTGCTGCTCCCCTCAGCAGTGTATTTCAGTAGATTCGCCTGTTCTGTTCCCCACTCTGTCTCTGGTGAATCTTCTCACTGCCCCCGCACCTCTGGTCTACAACTCAGTTCTTCTATGCATAAATAAAAATAAACCTTTAAAAAAATTAAAATAAATAAGGACATGTGAAGCTATAACTCCTAAATCATATATAGTGTTGTAAACCAATGTTATATCAATATTAAAAAAAACCACACACATTAGGTATTTAGCTGTTTGGTGCCATACATTAAAAATAAAAACAATTTAATTTGAAAAAGACTTTTTTTAGTCGACATAAGGGGGAGATTGCCCTAGGGAGTAGGAATAAACAAAGATGCCAGAGCTCTGGAGCGATATCTCGTATCTGGGAATACCTATATGCCTGTTTGATTGGAATAGAGATTGTAGGTGATGGTGTAGTAAACACTGAAGATCAGGACTCAGCAGGGACTGATTATCAAGGGTTTATATATGAAGTTAAAGTGTAGGCAGTGGAGAACCAACAAAGAGGTTTTGACAGGGGAGTAACACGATGAGAGTTGAATTTTAGAAAGATATCCTGGAGAGTGTGTCAAATAGAGTTGTGGATTATGTGCTAGGGGTCTGATTATCATAAGGATTCTATTGTGTTAGTTGAGGAAAGAGAAGATGAAATCCTGCATTGAGGCAGTACCAGTAGGCATGGAAATAAGAAATGGTTCTGGGGAATAGACAGAGGTGTTTTGGCCCCATTTATGCACAACTCTATCCAACTCCATGTTGATTGCTTTAATGTGGTGGGGAAATTTTTTTTTAAGATTTATTTATTTTATGCATACAAGAACTAGGGTACAGGCCAGTGGTGTAGGGGGTGAGAGGATTCACCAGAGACAGAGAGGGGAACAGAACAGGCGAAATCTACTGAAATACACTGCTGAAGGGAGCAGTGGGTGGGTGAGACAGGAGAGGTCTGCTGTGCCATGTGGGTCACCTCTCTGGCCAAGGATAGAACTCATGCTGCAGTGTGTGGATAGCTTCATAGTGCTGAGATTTAACCTTTTGTGCCACCAGGGAGGCCCCTGGTGGAGTAATTTCTTTATAGAAATAGGCAAGTGCTGCAAGTCAGGATTTTGTTTTAGACCGGAGAGCTGGTGGTTAAACATTTACCTGTATATGACTGAAGATAGCATTGGTAACCCATTGGACACAAAGGTAAAGGAAAAAAGATTGCAAATGATGACCCATAGAATTATGGCTGGAGTAACAGATTGAGTTTGGTGCCATTCTGTAAGATGAAGAAAACTAGAAAAGAAATAGATTTAGGTGAAGAGGTAGGGAAGAGAGATTGTATTCAGGGTACAATTTTGCAGCTGATAGGTTTGAAATTTGTACAGCAATCAGTTTTGGAAATGTATAAGAGTGTTGAAAATTAGAGGTTAGTGAATGGGTTGTATGAGTAATTTTGTCCTAGGTTGTTAGAGGAGGCCATGAAGATAGATCTGATCCCTCAGAGTAATAAGAGAGAAAGACCAAGATAGAAGTGCAGGGGAACCCCAGAATTTAAGATGGAGGAGGCAGCATATGAGGAATGACCGTACATGAGGAGACAGGCTTCTGGGTGGCCTTTTCCCAAACTCCCAAGAACATGTCACTTGTCCCAAGAGCAGACACTCCACTGCAGCTTCCCTGAGTTGGTATGGACTATGATGGAGGGATAAAAGCTATTATAAAACACGTAACCTCAGAAACACCTTTGCTCTCAGAGTTGAAATCACTCTTTTTTAACCCTTGGATCTCAAACAGTGTGTTTAGAACACAAGATAGAATAAAATAGAAATTTTCATTGTGCTTTTGTGCCCACTAAGTGTTAAGTATTGTTTTCGTTACATTGTTTTCATATGTGTGCGCTTCAGTTTTGCATATTTTTGTGTATATTTATTGGTCATGATTTAAGGTATAGATTTCTCACAGAGAGTCATAGAAAAAAATGGAAAAAAACTAGTTTAAATGACTTTTTTGTTGAAAATTTGTAGTTTAATGAGAAATGTTTTCCATACCTAACATGGTTTCTTTTGGTCAGCTGCTTTTGGATCCAAATTTTCCTTCTTCTAGCCATGGGCTGATGGCAGCCTTCCCAGTCCTTATCAAGTATCGGCTGGAATGTCTCTGCTGGTATTTTTTTTAGGGCATGGCTCATTTCCTTTCCTCTTTTGCCAATGAAAAGGAGAACATGTCTCCACAATGAGCTCAACCCTGCAACATTTGCTCTGTAAACCTAGATTTTCCCCCAGGCTATGAAAATCCATTTTTTTCATTTGAATACTTCTAGGACTAGATAAGTTCATTTGGTTTGTATTCTAATGAGCCTTTTTAGCTGCAGAAAAATAACTATTAAATCTATGAGGTTTTGATTCACTTTTACTTAGATGAGCCTCTACTTTGTTTATGCTGGAGAATTTAATTTTTAATGGTTACCCTTTGTGGAAAGAGATTTGTTGAAGGAGGCCCAAAATGTCCCTGTAAGTGTCCCTTAAATTAGAAAGGGGGTTGAAAATTTACCTCCTATATCATTGATAGTTTTGGCTTTGGCTTAGATTTTTTAACAGATTGCTCAGCCATGTCTTTTTGAGGCTTCATTTCTGTGCTATGTGTCCATCAGAATGGGATGTTCAGTATGTGAAGTGTGTCCAAATTCTTTGAGTCATTCACAGCTGGAAAACTCGGACCTCATCTTTGTGATTCAGCTTAACTGATGTATTCATTCTCAAAAACTCAGTCTCTTTGATATTAAAAGATAAACTTTGACTTTCACATTTTATGACTTTTCAGATAGACATTTAGAAAGTTGTTCCTATTCATGTGGTTTCTAGTAAAAACATTTTCAACCAACAAATGTTTTACTATCTTTTCATGTATACTGAGCTACAAAATATCCTGGGGATTGTGAAAAAAAGTTAGAGATATGTAAGTGGTTAAGC